GAACCTATTAATGTGTTATACCAGATTAACGGAAATAATCTCAGCTAACTGACGATACAAACCATTTTATACCAAAATAAAACACAAGTCTCATAAGAAGCATCTCAATGACCCCTGAGCGAAAAATGCTAACACACTTTGGCACAGAACTCAAGATAAAAGTACCCTTATTATTACTTATCGTAGCTGCACTTACAAGATATCCGATTAAAGCTGAGGTTCCACAGATTATTTAGGTATATAGTATCATCACTGAGTGATCTGAACTCGGACAGGGGAAGCAAACACAGACATCACAACACGTACCTTTACGTAGCTTCGAGGGGAGATGTCTCACCGTAGCTGTCAATCTGATCAAAAGACGTGTTCAATGGCATTAAAACGAGAAAGAAAAAACGCGGCTGAATCGGTTAATCCATAGGTTTTTAACGTCTCTGTATAAAAAAATGATTTAATTTATAATCCATAATTCCATTTGTATGTAAATATCGCAGAGCAAAAGTTAGCTGCCAATGGTAGCCACCATAGTGGCTGCTGCTTCCGGTCTTGGCTATGCGGAAGTCTCTCACACACACATTACCAAATAAGGACTGTGTGATTTCCCCTCGATTCCATTGGCTCTGACGGTCAGAAAGAGATGTCACATGTCAAAATCCAGCAAGGTGGGCCAGAGATATGGAAAATCCACCCAAATGGCCCCAAAAGAGGGTTTTTTTGGTGCTAAATCTGTCTAAAAAAGGTCAAATATTAGGGGAAGTTCTACACACACCAACACATGAACAAATAAGGAGTGAGAGTGACGACGCATAGCCAAAACCGGAAGCTGCATACCACCAAGGTGGCTACCATTAGCAGCTAACTTTTGTGATCCGATTGTTACATAAAAATGGAATTATGGATTATAAACAATTGCTTCAAAGCCACAGATACATTATCAACCTATGGATCAACCGATTCAGCCGCGTTTTTTCTTTCTCGTTTTAATGCCATTGAACACGTCTTTTGATCAGATTGACAGCTACGGTGAGACGATCTCCCGTAAAAGCTCCGTAAAAGGTACGTGTTGTGATGTCTGTGTTTGCTTCCCCTGTTGCGAGATCTGATCGCTTAGATACTATACTTAAATAATCTGTGGAGTCTCAGGTTTAATCGGATATATTGTATGTGCAGTTTCGATAAGTAATAAGGGTATCTTTATTTTGAATTCTGTGCTAAAGTGCGTTAGCATTTTTTTTTTAAATGAATAAAACCGCACGTCCCTGCGGTGTGAATACCGCGCATGCGCATACCACGGTTATCGCCATGACACGGTATGTCGTTCAGCCCTACTTTGTAGTCAAGGCATCATGTGGAGCAATGTGAAACATTAAACATAAATAAACTGGTGTACAAAACTTGCATACCTGCATTTCAATGGACAGCATAAAAGGACTCGTGAGCTGGGTTCTGGTGCTCAGATTAGCTATTGATGATCACGTTGATAAATCATATAAAACAAATAGCCAATCACACTAAAAACATGTTGCTGTGACTGTGAGCATTAAACAATTAACATTAAACTAAACAAACACAACAGTACGTTATTGTCCTTATAAAATAAAAACATACATTTTGTCCACCGAGATAATACAGGCACCTTACCCTCAAGAGATCCTCACGTGCTATGAGAATCTCCCACAATCCATTGCCGTAACAAAGCTAATGCAGGCACACGTTTGTGACACCAGATGGCGCAATTGTGTATGTGCGTGTGGGGAGTCTTGCAGTAGAACATTTGACTGTAGCGCCGCCACTGTGGGCTAAGCCCCGAATGTTTCCAGGTCCAGGCGACGCCCCTGACACACACATAGACTCAAAACCATGGACACACTGGCACATAAGTTACAACAATTTATAGGCCTAAATTGCATAAGCTACAACTAAGCAGACAGCGCTGCTTCTCTCTATCTCCACTTTCAAAATCTATTTGAAACGAAAAATATAGCCTACATAGCCTGCATTAGCCTACGTCTTGCAAACATTGAATCTGGACTTGAAATTGAGGCCGTCTAGCTCACAACTCATACTTCGTCTTACAAACAATATCAGAATCTCACATGTACACCACCAGACTCTTTCACACACAGCATCATACCATATTTAACGTACTGTCATTCCTTCCTTCATTTACTATCATAAATAAATAACTATTCTCTCTCAAACACAAAAACAAAATCTCTTAAACGCACCATCATACTCTCGTACACACACCACTATCGTCTTTCACAAACAACTATAATCTAATAGAACATTATAATAGTGTATGTGAAAGAGGATAGTAGTATGTGTGTAATCGGTAAACAATGTATGTAAGACAGAATATTAACCTTTGTAAGAGGGAATAGTATTTCATGTTAATAACAATAGTCATATATGTAAAACAGAATAGCAGTGAATGAAAGGCCGAATAATAGCTTATATAAGAGGTAATAATAGTTAATGTGAATGACTATAGGTATGTGTATAAAACAGAATGATAGGGTGTGTGTGTCGCCAGTAGGAATGGGATTTTTGTATGTCAAATGATGATGCATTATATTTACTGTGTGTATATGTATTTTAAGCAGAAGTGGGGACAAATGTGTGTTTCCATTCATAAAAGGGTTAGCCTGTCAGGTGGGCGGAGTATGTGTGTTGTCGCAGCTGGTGTGAATCAGCTGGATGAGGGCAGCATGATTGGCTGCTGCCTGCCCAGCCTTCCAGGAAGCTACGTGGATTGGCCGGTGGTTGGTTAAAGCGAGGAGCCGGGACATTTACCGGGAGAGCCGGGAGAACGGAGAAGGTGAAGCTACGAGGTGAAGAGGGAACGGGAAGCAAGGCTCTGGACGGATCGACGAGGAAGCGACCGTGAGGCGAAGGTCCACTGTGGAAGTTCTGCTGCACTGCGATTTGCTGTACGGCTGCCAGCCGCTGATCGACGGGTCGGTTGAAGGCAGAATTGCAACGCTCCCAAGTTCCTGTCTATTGCAACGCACTCAAGTTCCTGTCTATTGCAACGCACTCAAGTTCCTGTCTATTGCAACGCACTCAAGTTCCTGATCATTGCAACGCACTCAAGTTCCTGATCATTGCAACGTCCTCAAGTTCCTGTCTTTCGCACCATGCGCTTGTTCCTATCAGGGCCAGTGCGCATCTGAGGCGGACGTGCTCCGAACTATTGGGAGACGCACGCCAAGTCTCCAACTGCTGTCTTCCGACCAGATTCCGGGGTCGCTCAGTATTGAAACACGCTGCGCTTAAGGAAGGGTGAGAGAAATAACTTTGAACTCCTCTCGGTCTGAGGTGTTCCTGACCGAGAGCGGACCCATAACTATTTTAATGCGGGCCATGTCTTGGCAGGCTGTCACTGGTTAAATGAACAAGGAGAGTATGGAGTGCAAATAGTGCCACTCGTTGTCATTTGCCCACCAGTGCCAGTGACTGTTCCATTTTACTCCTTAGCGGCCAGTGAGTGGGAGAGCATGTTCATTGTGTGATGTGTGTAGTGCTTTCTTTAAATAGACGTGTCATGTGTGTGGTGATTCCCTAATAGAAGTGCCATGTGTTTGCGTTATTTGCATGCTTTGTGATATTTTACTGTTAGTTACCATTGATAGTCCCTCCGGCCAGCGGGGGGTGGGGTAGAGCAGTGACTATGGAATGCCATTTAAATACATATATATATAAATATGCCTATGAAATAAATTATGAAATAAATAAATTAGGCAATAAATATGTATACATGTACATTTAAATACACATTTATTTATTTCAAGAGACTTGTATTTCATAATGACACATTTATTTATTTCAAGAGACTCGTATTTCATAATGACATATTTATTTATTTCAGATGACTTGTATTTCATAATGACGCGTTTCTTTATTTCAAGAGACTCGTATTTCATAATGGCTTATTTCATGTGACTTGTATTTCATGATGAGACATTTCCATTCCTTATATGCAAATGAACGGGGCGTGGTTAGCTCACAGGTCCAGAGACCCAGACCAAAGCAACAGCACCACACTGACTACTCGAGAAGAGGAAGCAAATGGAGGAGAAGGACTATAAGGCAAACTACTAAATGAAAATAACAACATGGAAGACGTCGGTGGGCTCCAAGACTTAACTGGTTCTTATCTGGTCTTATCTGGTCTTATCTGGTCCGCCCAATGCTGCTCTTCTGAGAGCAACCGCTCTGACAGCTCTACTAGTCTAGTCTCTACTGGGAAACAGCTAAAAGTCCTTCTGGAGGTAAGCAACGCTACACAATTACACCCAGTCTGAGAGTAAAATATGTCTCGAAGGTTCGTTTTGCTTTCTTACAACGTTAAGTTAATGTTAACGTAACCTTACGTTTGCTAGGAGGCTATCGTTACGAGCTAGCTGTCTTAGCTAACAACAGTTAGCAGCTAACGTTTTCTGCAGTTTGTGTTGCCCCTGAAAAACGTGATGTAGTTATTTAAGGGTATGTTAAATTAACGTTATTTTACAAGTTGAGAGAGTTAAGTTGTGTTTAAAATCGTCAATGTAATGCACGTTAGAGGTTTTGTGTTGGACATGAAGTTAGCTAACGTTAGCTAACTCCACCAGGTTAGCATGTTAAGCTGTACTTTTTGTGGCAGCTAGCTTAATACAAAGAGGGGTTTTGTGCTTCATTGCAAACTTTTCTTTGTTAATCTACCTGAAACTGTAGGGACAGTTTGTTTCTACTCAACTATACAGACCATTGTTGAGGAGATGCAAAACATACTGTACATGAGTTGGGTCCAACATATACCTTGAGTAATGTTACTTTGCTGCTAAAAATTAAACATCATTATCAGATGAGGACATCACCAAAGTGTGTGAGCCTGTCAGGGGATTTGATCTGTTCTCTGCATGTCCTAAACACTGCTCTGGTATTACTTATTTTGTAACATGTAAGTCTCCCGCTCTTGTCATCTTTCAGGCTTTGCATTTGAACTCCTATGACTGGTTGCGGACTTGAAGGGAACACCTTCCTGACATCCAGGAAAAAGGTGAGATTATAATACATTTGAATGCCAAAAGCAAGTTATTGTTTTTAACTTTTGAAATATGATTGTTTTGGGGCATTTCAGTTTTATTGGACAGGCAGTAGAGATCTACTGGAAACAGTGGAGAGGGAGGAGATGATATGCAGCATACGGCCCAGCCGGATGGTTGCTGCTCCGTGTGGAACGTGTCCTATCAGGTAAAGCACTTTGGTACCCAGTTATTTATGGTGTTGAGTTTGAATTTAGCTTTTGGAATGTAATTTCCAACTGTGCATTGTAAAGACTGAAAAAACAGCCTCAAGTTAAAGCTTGACATTATTTGGTCTTTTACTTAAGAAGATGTTTGTCCTCCTGTGTTGTCTTATTTCCTTATCTTTCTTTCAGGTGTAACATCTACCAATGGTTGTACATGACAGAGACCTCCTCCGCCTCTTTGCTGTCTTACTAGTCAATCCTTCTGATCAGGTCCTTTCCTAAATAGTGGTAAGTTTTACAGTTCAGTGTACGTTAATTTAGTAACTTAATACTTTACCGCTGTTGAATAAATCCTATATTGCTAGTCATTTTATTAAAACTACGATTTGTAAACTTTTTGATTCCAATTACAATAATCTTTTTGTTATAATTGTAAAACATATCTTAACATCCATCAGCAATCAATACAACAAATCATCCAACACTAAATAGAAGAAATCTGGACCTATTTCTTTTTATACAGCAGCATGTTTTGGGACTGCTCATTGATGTCATCAAGAGCCATTGAGGCTGCAGCCACACGAGGACAAAAACGGCCGTTTGCGTTACTGTTTAGTGTCATATAGACCATTCGGCCACACGAGGACGACCGTATACGGCACTAAACGACTGAGGAAACGATAACGGGTCCCAAGGTGGATAGAACGGCATACGCAACGCTCTGGGGGGTCAAACAGCTCTGTGTGTACGCCCTATACGATCATTTTCTGATAATGATTGCGCAATAGCTCCGCCTCTCCCCACCTCTGCTGCTCACCTCCGCGTACCCCGCGCCATTGCTGATGTGTTTCGCCACCAACAACAACAACAATGGCAGATCGCAGAGTTGCTATCGTGTTCCGGACGCTACTGACCATGCTACAGTTCTTTGTGCAACATCTACAGCAGACTTACACATCCGGGGGGGATCTTACTCGCTGCTTTTGTGGATATGTACTGCAGCTTCAGCGATCATTTTCTGATAATGATTGCGCAATAGCCCCGCCTCTCCCCACCTCTGCTGCTCACCCCCGCGTCAAAGTAAACTGCACACTGAATTCAGATTATTTATCTTTCTCTCGATATGGACATAAACGCGAGTGAAGTCTAATCTGACAGGACGGAGACACCTCTCAAACTACCTAAACTAGTTATAAATATGTTTATTTTTACTGTCGGCCGGGTCACTCATTACTGGATCAGCTGCTGCATGAAACAGACACTGACGCTGTCCAAAGAGAGGGAGGAAAAAGAGAGGCTCCGTGTATTTTTATTATTATATTATATAGAGTCGTTATTCATTTGTTTTAAAGCTCAATAAATAACAAAGAAGACCTTTGACCGGCACTTTTATAATTTTGTCGGAAGGTTTAAACTTTAATACACGTTCAAAAGACCTCATGAAAGAAAAACTAAGAAGTGAGGATACCCGGCCCGGAGGAAGCCCGGGGTCCCCTTCTGGAGCCAGGCCCAGAAGGAGGACTCGTCGGCGAGCGTCTGGTGGCCGGGCTTGCCACGGAGCCCGGCCGGGCCCAGCCCGAAAAGGCAACGTGGGCAACACCTCCGCTTCTCCGTCCCGCGGGCCCACCACCTACGGGAAACATCGATGGGGTCGGGTGCGCTGCCAGAAGGGTGGCAGTGAAAGCGGAGGGTCTCGACGGACCAGACCCGGGCGACAGAAGCTGGCTTTGGGGACGTGGAACGTCACCTCTCTGGGGGCGAAGGAGCCGGAGCTTGTGCGGGAGGTGGAGCGTTACCAGTTGGATCTGGTTGGGCTCACCTCTACGCACAGCGTCGGCTCTGGAACCTTACTTCTGGATAGGGGTTGGACTCTATTCTTCTCCGGAGTTGCTCAAGGTGTGAGGCGCCGGGCGGGTGTGGGGATACTCACAAGTCCCCGGTTAGGTGCTTCGTTGTTGGAGTTTACCCCAGTGGACGAGAGGGTCGCCTCCCTACGCCTGCGGGTTATGGGGGGGAAAACTCTGACTGTTGTGTGTGCTTATGCACCCAACAGCAGTTCAGAGTATACGGCCTTCTTGGAGACCCTGGAAAGAGTCCTGTATGGGGCTCCTGAAGGGGACTCTTTAATCTTGCTGGGAGACTTCAACGCACATGTGGGCAATGATGGAGACACTTGGAGGGGCGTGATTGGGAGGAACGGCCCCCCTGTCTGAACCGGAGTGGTGGTTTGTTACTGGACTTCTGTGCTAGTCATGGATTGGCCATAACAAACACCATGTTCGAACATAAGGATGCTCATAAGTGTACGTGGTACCAGAGCACCCTAGGCAGAAGGTCCATGATCGATTTCGTTATCGTATCATCGGACCTGAGGCCGTATGTTTTGGACACTCGGGTAAAGAGAGGGGCGGAGTTGTCAACTGATCACCATCTGGTGGTGAGTTGGGTCGAGTGGCGGGGGAAGCCTCTGGATAGACCTGGTAAGCCCAAACGTGTAGTTCGGGTGAACTGGGAACGTCTGGAGGAGGCCCAAGTTCAGGAGACCTTCAACTCACACCTCCGGCGGAGCTTTTCGGGCATTCCTGTGGAGGTTGGGGACATTGAACCAGAGTGGTCGGTGTTCAAAGCCTCTATTGCCGAAGCCGCGGCGGGGAGCTGTGGTCTCAAGGTCCTAGGTGCCTCAAGGGGCGGTAACCCTCGAACCTCCTGGTAGACACCGGTGGTCAGGGAAGCCGTCCGACTGAAGAAGGAGGCCTTCAGGGATTTGTTATCCCGGGGGACTCCCGAGGCAGTTGCAAGGTACCGACAGGCCCGAAGGGCAGCAGCCTCATCCGTGGCCGAGGCAAAGCAGCGGGTGTGGGAGAAGTTCGGAGAAGACATGGAGAAGGACTTTCGGGCGGCACCAAAGTTGTTCTGGAAAACTGTCCGACACCTCAGGAGGGGGAAGCAGGGAACCATCCAAGCTGTGTACAGTAAGGATGGGACGTTGTTGACCTCAACTGATGGAGTGTTAGGGCGTTGGAAGGAACACTTTGAGGAAACTCCTGAACCCGACAACTCCGCCCTCTATGTTAGAGGCAGAGCTGGAGTATGACGGGGGATCAACACCAATCTCCCGGGGGGAGGTCACTGAGGTCGTCAAACAACTCCACAGTGGCAAAGCCGCGGGGGTGGATGAGATCCGCCCGGAAATGCTGAAGGCTCTGGGTGTTGAGGGACTGTCATGGTTGACACGTCTCATCAACGTTGCGTGGAAGTCGGAAACAGTACCGAAGGAGTGGCAGACCGGGGTGGTGGTCCCCCTTTTTAAAAAGGGGGATCAGAGGGTGTGTGCCAATTACAGAGGCATCACACTACTCAGCCTCCCCGGGAAAGTTTACTCTAAGGTACTCGAAAGGAGGGTCAGGCCGATTGTCGAACCTCAGATTGAGGAGGAACAATGCGGATTCCGTCCTGGTCGTGGAACGACGGATCAGCTTTTTACTCTCGCAAGGATCCTGGAGGGGGCCTGGGAATACGCTTATCCGGTCTACATGTGTTTTGTAGACTTGGAGAAGGCGTATGACCGAGTTCCCAGGGAGTTACTGTGGGAGGTGCTGCGGGAGTATGGGGTGAGGGGGTCTCTACTCAGGGCCATCCAATCTCTGTACTCCCAAAGCGAGAGCTGTGTCCGGGTCCTCGGCAGTAAGTCGGACCCATTTCCGGTGAGGGTTGGCCTCCGCCAGGGCTGCGCTTTGTCACCAATCCTGTTTGTAATATACATGGATCGGATTTCGAGGCGTAGTCATGGGGGAGGGGGGTCTGCAGTTCGGTGGACTAAGGATTGCACCACTGCTTTTTGCAGATGATGTGGTTCTAATGGCTTCATCGGTCTGCGACCTTCAGCACTCACTGGATCGGTTCGCAACCGAGTGTGAAGCGGCTGGGATGAGGATCAGCACCTCCAAATCTGAGGCCATGGTTCTCAGCAGGAAACCGATGGACTGTCCACTTCAAGTAGGGAATGAGTCCTTACCCCAAGTGAAGGAGTTCAAGTATCTCGGGGTCTTGTTCTCGAGTGAGGGAACAATGGAGCGTGAGATGGGCCGGAGAATCGGAGCAGCGGGAGCGGTACTGCAGTCGCTTTACCGCACCGTTGTGACGAAAAGGGAGCTGAGCCAGAAGGCAAAGCTCTCTGTCTACCGGGCCATTTTCGTTCCTACCCTCACCTATGGTCATGAAGGATGGGTCATGACCGAAAGAACGAGATCGCGGATACAAGCGGCCGAGATGGGTTTTCTCCGCAGGGTGGCTGGTGTCTCCCTTAGGGATAAGGTGAGAAGTTCGGTCATCAGGGAGGGACTCGGAGTTGAGCCGCTCCTCCTTCGCGTCGAAAGGAGCCAGTTGAGGTGGTTCGGGCACCTAGTTAGGATGCCACCTGGGCGCCTCCCTAGGGAGGTGTTCCAGGCACGTCCAGCTGGGAAGAGACCAAGGGGTAGACCTAGGACCAGGTGGAGGGATGATATCTCTTCGCTGGCCTGGGAGCGCCTTGGGATCCCCCAGTCAGAGCTGGTTGATGTCGCCAGGGAAAAGAAAGTTTGGGGCTCTCTGCTGGAACTGCTACCCCCGCGACCCGACCACGGATAAGCGGAAGAAGATGGATGGATGGATGGACACGTTGACTGGCGAAAAACTCTGCCCGGTTCCCTCGGCCCCCACCGCGGAGAATAAACAGAAGGGCAACCATGACAACCATGCTTCTTCGCTGCTTTTGTGGAGGAAGTTACAGCGCCACGTACAGGGTCCTGCATATGTACTGCAGCTTCTCCAGCGGTTGGAGCTAAACGGAGCGGTCTCGTGTGGGCAGACACTATCCGGATAACTATTGCGTGTGGACGGAAGCTTGTTTGCGTTAATCCTATGCGTTTAGCCATTTTCGTCCTCGTGTGGCCGGGGTCTGAGTCTACCTTTTGTAGTCGGCCTCTCAGAATGTTTATCATTTATTTGTATTTTAACATTCCTATAATAATTAGTTTTTTTATTGTTTTGTTCTTTATTTTTGTTGTGAGAATCACTTTGCAATTATTGTGTAAGTGCTATATAAATAGTTATACTAATATTATTGTTGTTACTATTATTAATAATGTCTTCTTTGTTTTCTTTATTCATCGCTGCAGAAAGGATCATGCCAGCCCACATCAAACACCTGATCAAGAGCTTGTGAACCTCACTGCTGCAGACACCTGTGTGATATTCCACTCTGACTGGAACCCTCAAAATGACCTGCAGGTACAATATATATATATATATATATATATATATATATATATACAGAGCAGATATATATATATATATATATATATATATATATATATCTGCTCTGTCCGTCCTAAAGATAGTTCAATAAGGCTACAACAACAACAATCTTTCCGTTTATTCCCTCGGTTCTTTAAGTGTATATTATTTTCCCATTTAATGCTTAAAAACGTTGAACAGCAGCTGCACATGATGCTCTTTTGACCCCTCTTTTAATTTTTTATTTCAGGCTCAAGCTCGGTTCGTCATCGTTTTGGCCAGTCTAAGGCGGTGGAGGTGTACCGTCTGATCACTAGAAACTATGAGAGGGAAATGCTGGATAAAGCTAGTCTGAAGCTCGGGCTGGACCGTCCCGTCCTGCAGAGCATGAGTGGCAACAACAACGGGGTGAGAAAAAGAAAATCTGTCATATTTCTAGATGCCAAGTCATTTTTGGGTCAGTCGCTGTTGCAGTACGCTTAGTTTATTTTCAAAAAGAGTTTTCTAAATCCACTTGTGTAAATGTCTCTCTGCGTCGCCTTAGCCGGTCCAGCAGTTCTCCAAGAAGGAGATCGAGGACCTGCTGAGGAAAGGAGCCTACGCTGCCATCATGGACGAGAACGACGAAGGCAATCGCTTCTGCTAGGAGGACATCGACCAGATCCTGCAGCGAAGAGCCACCATCATCACCATCACCAGGTATGTTCTTAGCAGCACTAGCCACTTGCGCTTTGTGTTGGTAACCAAGTATTTGGTTATTTGAAATGTAATATTGATGATGTAATAATTAAAACTAGGGATGGGTACCGAGCCCCAGTATTAACGGGGCCCCGGGGCTGAATTATTAAAGACCGTGGTACCGTTAACGTCCAATGTTATCAATCTTTTTATCGTTACGGGAGACATTTAAAAAATAGATGTCATATGTATTATATCTACATAAACATTATATCGCAGTCTTACTGCAACTCCGTTTCTAATATGCAATAAGACTACAAAGTGCGTCTATGTTTTATTTTCGATCTTTCCAATCCAGACGAGATCTCTCTCCCCTGTCGGTGTGCGAGGGGGTGGGGCAGTTTACACACAGAACCTGCTACATGCATGCAACACACACACACACACACACACACACACACACACACACACACACGCGTGCGCACACAAACACATGGCGGAGAGAACTAAGCGCCCCGAGGGTAGTTATGTTACCCGTCTTGAGCATGGATGTTTAATAAGAACTGGATACAGCATCGGAGGAGGGGCCTCGTTATTTCCTATGAGAGCTGCTCATTGGCGCATGAAGTCAAAATGGCCCAACTTTTGAGAGAGCGAAACGTCACAGATTACCCGTCATGCCTGGCTGTCAGAGCAGAATAACCCGTTTGTGCGCTCACAGAGCATGCGCCCCTTAAGCCCCGCCCCCCGAGCACACACTCTCGGCTCACTAGAAAGAATGGAGAGAGAGAATAAATCTAGATTCGGCTTTTAGTGCATTTTACAACTTTAAGAACTTAATGATTCTAGGGCTATACAATAGTTCATACTGGGTAGTTTATTTAGTTTCAAAAAAATTATCCACCGAGTTACAGATGTCTCTTTCCCAATGTTAGTCAATGGGAAAAAGTATTTCTGGGCCGGTCGACGTCACAGACTGATAAGGAAATTGTAGTACCGCCGTTTGGACACAACAAATATTTTCCTCAGAGTCCGGCACACTTCCTGGGGGCTTGGTCTTGAGGTGGAAAATGCTCGTTGCCAATAGTGCAATAAGAATTTAGCATGTAAGGGCGGTAACACAAGCTATTTGTCTAAACATTTAGCAAAAGTGCTCCACATTCAGACGGAGGAATGCACCGGGTTCGACTGTCTTTCTAGTAGCTCTGTAGCCCCATCCACGAGTAACGTTTCCACGTCAGGTATATATTATGTATGCTAGCAGCAACACACAGAGTTAACTCAATGATACAAACATGGGTTAATGATTAGAGGTAACTGAGTTATTTATTTTGTTAAAGTTACAGCTATTCTGTTTGCAGTTCTATCATCACATAATTGAATAAGATTTGTTAAAACATTGTTGTTTCTTATTTTCAGTTTGCTTCAAGCAGTGGCTGCACGAGAAAGACGTGGAGGACCAAGAAATGCTGGCCAGATTGGCAAAGACCGGAAGATACATAACAGAGAAGATAATGGATATTAAAAAGAAAAAGAAAAAAAATGTTTATAATTTCTTTGTTTCTGTTTACATTTTGAATTATATTTGTTATTTTTAAATCAAATGCATCTTTCTTAGATGATATATTTATTTAGATGTAGGTTTTTTTTGTAATATTATTGTATTAAGTATAATTTATTAAATAAAAATACTGTTATGAACACTATACACTGTCTTTATTTTGATAGTTACCAGAATACATTGTATATTTAATACTAACATAAGCTGGTGATAGATAAATGCTGGTCTGCTGGTATGCCAGCAGACAAATATTTATAAAGACAAGGTATGGCTGGGGTAGGCTACACCCATACCAAGAAATGGCTTAGCCCCACCATGAAAAATGATGTTAAAGTAAGCAAAATAAAGTCCGCCAACTCGCGCGGAGTAAATTGCACAGACAGCAGTAAGTAAGATTGATTTCAGCAGCCACTTGTCTGGAAATACGGAAGACCAGAAACGGTTTTGAAAACTTTTGTCACGTAGTGATCGTCTTCCCAATAGAACATCTTTGATAATGTCTTCTGGCCAATCAGAATCAAGATAACGGCGTGGTGTTGTTGCAGGAAGTCCCGACGGAGAATACTTTAGCTGTAGTACAGGTAACACATAACTGGTACGCAGGTTATGTGCGTAATCTGAAATGCGTACCGTCACTTGTGTCACAAAGCGCATTTGCGTACCGACGTACTTGTGAAGCTTTTTCAGAAGGCGGTTAGATCACCGGACGACAGAGTCGGTCTCCGTGTGCACAGACAGGGCTGCTGTTAAAGAATTGTGCCAAAACTACGCCAACCGGCTGCGGAGGGAGACTCCTCCCTTCACTGGAGAACTGCGCTAAAACAGCTGATCACAACGTTCACACTCTGTGGTCACGAAGTACTCCACTCCACTAGTGCCCCCCGTCGACTTTCCTGAAGTTTCTAAGTAAGATAGAAATCAATACGTAATTAATTAAGACCCCACGGTTTGATGATTGATAGGTGCTCTCTTTCATTTTGACACACAGAATTATTTTTTTTACAATAAACATGTTAAATGGATATATCCGCCTTCTTTCATTTATCTTTCCATTCCCACAACAATATACATAAAGAAATGACATATTTTGGACATAGTTCGAATGGTGATTAATCATGATTAATACATTTTTAAGCTGTGATTAATCTGATTAAAAATTGTAATCGTTTGACAGCCCTAATTTATTTATTTTTGGATTAGATCATAGATACGTCCATGAGTTAAGAGATGGAATGATATGATGATTCACACTCATGTACAGTAGGTGGCGGTATGCACCTTAAAGTTGTTTGCAATCCGCCAAAAACCGAGAGAAGAAGAAGTCAACTGGTTTGCCAACGGACAATTTACACCGAAGAAGAAGAAGCGAACATTTCTGGCGGGTGAAATTTAGAGTATCAGATTACATGCGATGTCTGACTCTGAGAATTTAGTAGTTTGCCTTATAGTCCTTCTCCTCCATTTTCTTCCTCTTCTCGAGTAGTCAGTGTGGTGCTGTTGCTTTGGTCTGGGTCTCTGGACCTGTGAGCTAACCACGCCCCGTTCATTTGCATATAAGGAATGGAAATGTCTCATCATGAAATACAAGTCACATGAAATAAGCCATTATGAAATACGAGTCTCTTGAAATAAAGAAACGCGTCATTATGAAATACAAGTCATCTGAAATAAATAAATATGTCATTATGAAATACGAGTCTCTTGAAATAAATAAATGTGTCATTATGAAATACAAGTCTCTTGAAATAAATAAATGTGTCATTATGAAATACAAGTCTCTTGAAATAAATAAATGTGTCATTATGAAATAAAAGTCCCATGAAATAAATAAATGTGTATTTAAATGTACATGTATACATATTTATTGCCTAATTTATTTATTTTATAATTTATTTCATAGGCATATTTATATATATATGTATTTATTTAATTATTTATGTATATATTTATTTATTTAATATTGGCTTAAATGACGGGGTGGTCTTGCTTGGCCTTGTGATACATTTCCATGTGAGAAGCTTGGCTGATATGGTCCCTTACTATTAACTTCATTTATAATAAAGATTATTGTTACCTGATATCTGCCTGCTCCTCGTGTGTGTGTGTGGGTTAATTGGGGGATTAAAAGAACTGGGTGCCAGCAAGTGGGCCATTACATAGAGGGCTCACTCGCGACATGTGCATAAGAATAGTTATGTGTGTGAGAGAGTATGATTGAAAAGGAAGTGAGTTTGATTGAAAAGGAAGTTGGTCTAAATTCTCAGTTCCTGATTGGCTCTATGTTTTTTGTTTGACGGACACCGCCCACAATGGCAGTAGACTACTACTAATTTTCCCTGTGTAACCTGAAGAGTAAAAGGGTCAAGTCCGTCGTAAAGCAATGACTGTAAGTGTAAGCCTAACATTTACACTGACTTTAAGGATTAGTAACATGTATTGTGTTTATGTGATGACATTTGGAAATGTTTAAACTGCGTTAAAATGCATTCGCGCTAGCATACACGCTAGCGTTAGCCATACTAGCCTGTATACATTGTAGTGCCGAGAGATATGGAGTCAGAGGCGGTGCAAGGAAGGTGCAAGAATAGTAATTTATTCACAAGCTGCAAAGGACATGTTGTCGGGTTGCAGCCCGGGTCGACAAGAAGAGAGAGCCAAGAGGGCACACACTATTTATAGGTAACCCATAACATCCGTGTGGGAACAATAACCGCAACTGTAGTTCCAAGTTTGAATTATGTCCCAGTGGTTAAATAGGTGGTCACCACACAAGCCCCCCCAGAATTCAAACATGGCAAAACAATATATATCCCCACGTCCGTGGAGGAAGCACCACAAGGGCCGAGGAGGGTGGGGCCGCAGGTGAGGACCGGGCCATGGAACGGGCCACGAAAGGGGGCCGCAGGAGAGGGCAGGGGCCCTAACGAGGGCGAGGGCACCCACACGGGGGGCGGGCCGTCGTAAGGGGGCCGCAGTAGGTGTCGCGGAGAACCCAGCAGGAAAGAGCGCAACCCGGCCGCAGGCAGACGCACAACGGCGGCGGGCACGAAGTCCTCGGCAGGCGTCGAGGTATTCCCGGAAGAGAGGAGCAGTCCCCCCGGGAGGAAGGAGCGCAACCCGGCCGCAGGCAGACGTGCAACGGCGGCGGGCACGAAGTCCTCGGCAGGTGTCGAGGTATCCCCGGGAAGCCGGAGAGCAACCCGGCCGCAGGCAGACGTGCCGCGGCGGCGGGCATGAAGTCCTCAGCAGATGTCGAGGTATCCCCGGGAAGCAGGAGAGCAACCCGGCCGCAGGCAGACGTGCCGCGGCGGCGGGCATGAAGTCCTCAGCAGGCGCTGAGGCATCCCCGGGAAGCAGAAGAGGCCAGACAGGGTCCCGGAGCGCGCCACCCATGGGCCGATGGAGCATGGGCGACGTCCGGAACTGTCGAGGCGAGAGGGGGTCCAGGAGTGCGCCACCCAGGCGCCGATGAACGTGAGTGGCGTCTGGATATCCCCGGAAAGCAGGAGAGGCCAGACAGGCTCCGGAGCGCGCCACCCACGGGCCGATGGCAGCATGGGCGACGTCCAAAACCGTCGAGGCGAGACGGGGTCCAGGAGTGCACCACCCAGGCGTCGATGAAAACGTGAGTGGCGTCTGGAACCGCCGTGGAGGTGGTGAAAAAGGTGAGAGTGTCCACATGAGGTCAACCGGCTGGTCGAACTTCCTCTCCGGCACCAGAAAAAAAAGAAAAAAAAACTCAAAAGGGCTGATAGCCGTTAGCACTAGCCGTCGTTAGCCCCACGTGGTTAGCCGCTAGCTGCCAGCCATGGGTAGCTGCCAGCCGTCGTTAGCCCCACGTGGTTAGCAGCCGGGACGTGCAGCCGCACGCCCCGAAGAACAAACCCATGAGGTAGCAATGGGGTTGCTGGTCGACCCAGCAGGTCGTGCATCGTCCCCCCGTTGGATAGAAAGCCGATGCGGGAACGGCGAGCAACGTCTCCAGCCTTCTGCGGAGCGCGCACCGAGCCTCAGTCCGCGTGCCGGTGGCAGCCACGGACGTCTCCAATCCAACCCCGGCATTTCGAGAAAGGAACTCAAGTTCCTTTTGCCGTGTTCGGCTCCGTCCCGGAAACTTCTCAAGACGTATCAGGGTCACCAGTGTAGTGCCGAGAGATATGGAGTCAGAGGCGGTGCAAGGAAGGTGCAAGAATAGTAATTTATTCACAAGCTGTAAAGGACATGTTGTCGGGTCGCAGCCCGGGTCGACAAGAAGAGAGAGCCAAGAGGGCACACACTATTTATAGGTAACCCATAACATGTCCGTGTGGGAACAATAACCGCAACTGTAGTTCCAAGTTTGAATTATGTCCCAGTGGTTAAATAGGTGGTCACCACAACATGCTTATTGCACAGCTAGCATTAGCTATATTTACCTTGTTTACACTTAGCGGTCCTAAGTGTTAATCTGTGTATGTTACACTTGCATGTATGAGATCATTAAGTGCCTTGTAACTTCTTTTTGTATAGTTTCACTCCGTTTGAATGTCAGTAGACTGCAAATAAGTCAATAAAGGAGCATGGCTGCTCATTCCCTGGCTCTCAAAAGAGTTTGGCTGGCTGTTTAATCTATGTTCACACTGAGACAGTACAACACATAGAGAGAACAGTACACCTATAGTGTAAGTACATACAAGCAGGTCATACACTATGATCACAAATAGATATTTTTTGGATTAAATATGATCTATTCTTATGTAACAACACATTAAACTATTAAGTGTTAATTAAGTCTAAATAACTCAAAATTAGGTAGGCCTACTACTGTTTTATTGGGCCCATATTGAGCAGAGCATATTAAGACCAAAACTCATGTACAACAACTTCCTTACTTGCAATAAATAAGCACTAATTAGAGGGTTATTGAGGAAAAACTCTCAACTAATGGCCTATTACTTGTATAATCTGGTCATGTAGAATAAGGCATTAATAAGTGTTTTATAATGACTAATAAATAGCTAATAT